AGCGATTGGCCGCAGAATCCCGCTTCCAGAGCGAAAGATCTCGCTCGTACTGTAGGAAATCGTTTCTTTTTCTTTCCCTCCCCGCGCGCTCTAATGCGAAGACGCGTACAGATTCTCATTCACCAAGATTCAACGCAATCCGGATCTATTGGCGGAGAAATGAAAAGTGCTGACGCGACGCGACGGGGAAAAGTTGCCTCGGCTCCGACCGCTCGGTCGGAGAGTTTTGGCCGAAAGTACAAATAAAATCCACATCCTCCGATACACGCCTCATCCGCGAGATTTTCTACTCATCGTCGAGGAACGCCCCGGAAGGCGTCGTGAACGCATAGAAAGTTCAGCTCGTTTATCACATTGTTTTTATCGTACACTCATGCGGCACAACGAAAGTAAATCTGCGCGCCTGCTGATACGCACACCCACTTATAGACACATATAGAAACTCAAAACTTCAACATTGTTATACATGGTGTCCCAGATCACCTTCACAATCTCTCGTGAGGACGTGAAGCGGTTTGAATGAACACAAAAGTCCCATACCGTTTCGCGATATTCGCAATAATAGTCGAGATATTAATTAAAGAAGATTGGTGAATGATCACCAAATGACCAATCACGCACGATATGATAGATGAGTGGCACCGTCTGCCGTTGTATACTTATACATTAAGTCAAACTGAACAAAAAAGTCCTCTACCATTTTGCAAATGACTACATAGATTTTTAGATATTAATTAAAGAAAATTGTTACATGATTGTGTATCATAATGTACAAATTTCCTTCAATGAATGTTTTCCTTAGCATGTGAGACGCTCGCTTCGTTCCCCAATCTTTTGTGTGCTGCCTTTTAGATAATCTGTATCTTATCATAAGCTTATGAGATCAATAAGTATTATAGAATTTTGACCGCTAATACCAAAATCGCGTCTTCTAGATATTAAAGGAAAAATATTCCATAGTTCAACAGAAATATAGTCGTATAACATAGTGTATTTTCGTGATTTAATTAAAAAAAAAAAGATAAATCCCGCGAATTATTGCACATTTATTCTAATTGCAGATTATAGCAGTTTTTTATAAAGATAAGATTAAATAGAACGCGGAAAAACTCTTATGTGACGTATATTGTTTCACGTAACTTGTGACTTGTAACTTGTTGAAGATGAGAAAACTTGCCTACGGCGGAGGAGAACAGAACGACCACGCATGTATTCGTCTCGCGTCGATGAATGAAAGTTAATACAACAGGATATCCATTGGCACGTTCGAGGAATGAGCCGTGGAAAAGGAAACGCCCGTCTGGCGTGGACTTGCACATTTATTTTCCACGGTTTCGTGCTACTAGAGAAATGTGCTGCACACATGGTATGAAAAGTTACAATGGTAGTTATAATGCCTTCACTTTGAACCCTTGAGCTTTCGTACTATCAGAGAGCTGACTTCCTAGTAATTTTTTCGAAAGGGCAGGAATTTTTTTTACCTGCAAGTTTCTTTGAGATATCAAGTACACACAGAAAAATATAATTCGCTAAGGAAAGCGATATTACTCAAGTTACTTTCCTTCTCTTAACTAATAGTCATCTTCAACAAAGAATATTTTTTTGATGATAATACTCAAATAGTATTCTTATCACAATCAAATATTATTATCAGAGAAAGTATATCTATACTTATTCAATTATACTTATCAGAAATGTTACAAAAGCACATTATCATGTGCTCAAAGGAAGAAATGACTCTTTTTACAAGAATATTGTGAAACTCTGTCGAAAAAAAGTTTTGACTCTATGCGATAAGCAAACCAAAGTTTCGTCTTAATTTAAAATTTCTAAAAACTGACCATAGTTATTATATGTAAGAATTATCCATGGAGTTTCGAAAAAAAACGTACGTACGTGAAGATGGAAATTTAATACATGATTTAAAAAGCATAGATAGCACTAGGTTTGTCACAATCGTTCAAGAATTCAAGTTTGGTAATTTTCTTCTTTTTAAGAATATAATACACTGACAAACTTAATCCTTAAAAAATGAGTAGACAATATGTAATTAGTAAAAAATAGCAAGTGCAGACAATAAAACTGTTTTTTAATTAATGTTAGATGCCCATAAGACAACTTGGATCTTTTTTGTGTTGTACTCATTGATGACAAAAAGCGCGAAAATCATAAATCTGTAAGTTGAATCATTCTTATACAACTATGAGCAATTTTTGATTAAAATGCTAAACTTATTAAGATTAAAATGCTAAACTTATTAAGATTCATTTCGAATAAGTTTAATGCTTATGATAAACTTATGATAGATTTGCAGATGTATAAACTTATGAATCACTCGAAACAAGTAACATTTATTTAAACGCAGTATATATTTTTTTGTATGTATAACCATAAAAGATTAACGAAAAAAAGGTTGTCGTTACTTTTCGCAAGATTTTCGTAACCTCTCGCGTCGATATACCGTAGTCTCGGCAATATCGAATAAGTGAGTACTTTGTGCGGATATTAATCGGATGATCGATATTAGATGCGATATCGCCGATCCATTTTGCATATCCCTCACGACTTTGCATCGTAATAAGGCATTCTCGTAGTGCTTTCTCCCTTGTGACGCAATGCTCGGCGGAGTCGTTATGCGGCCGGCCTACGGCGAACGGTATTTCGCGATTTCGTAGACGCGCAATTATGCGAGGCGGATCATCCACTTGAGACCGATCAACGTCCCGGATCAATAACCTGCCGGGGTGAATTGCCACGGACATGTGGCAACGACTTCGTCGGATTAATAATCTGCTTAATTAATTCGCCGCGTTAATTGCCCGAGAAGGACGTGCGCGGAGAAGCCGTGAAAGCCGCATAATTTAATAACTGCGAGTAGATCGAATCAGTTTTCGAGGTGGCGAAACTCCCGCCGCTCGATCATCATCGCGAACGGACGAACTACGTTTCGCAAGAGCGTAACGCATCTCCACGCGATGCGTCTAGCAGCGATCAAACTTTCGATCAGGCGTCTTGTAATTTGCCGTGCACGCTTTCCAGTCGCGATATCTCTCGGGAGACTCTTGGAAGGGGAACCGAGACTCAAAACTCGAAATGCATTAACTCTTGAGGTCATGTGAAACATTTAAATCGACAGATTTACACGAGTGGTTTTACGATCTTTCACTCCGAGAAAAGAATTTATCGTCAAATTATCAGGCGACTTTCTCTCACTCAAGATGTTTCTCCGGCAAATTCCAAAAAGAATCTTAATTCAATTAATATTTAGTTGTTTTCACTGCAGAAAAATAATTATAAATTTCTCGACACATACAGTTTTATGTCAAGAATCAAGGTTGTGCATTCCGAAACGTCCTTTTTCGGGAAAATTTTGTTAAAAATCGTACGTCACATGAACTATAGATTTTCAGCAGAATTCTCCTCAAAAAGAACGTTTTTGGAATTGATAATTAACTTAAGAATTGATAATTTCTATGTAAGAGTTTTCCTTCATGTCAATGACATCTTTTTTCTCCGTCCGGTCTCAAAGCTCAGAACACAGGCCGGTCGAGACAGAAATTGTTGGACAGCGTAACAAAGTTATGAAAAGGTTTGAACGTCTCAGAATAAAAGCCCTACAAAGGTCTATGTTTATTTTCCCCTGTGCATGACAAGGTTCTTTCTTTTAAGCGCGTCAGACTGATGCTAAAAATAAGCCGCGGCGTGGAACGCGTTACGGAGCGCAAGATGATTCCCGATGTGGTAAGGAGCGCGGAAGACTCTTCGAGATAAATTCTAAGTTTAGAGTTCGGCCTCTTCTTACTGAATTTTTTTGGTCGAATACTCTAAGCCTGCGCGATGCATTCGGTATGCACTCGAGATAATTCTCTCCCTCCCTCCCGAAGCAATGTATGTATATATCATTTTTCGAAGCAATGTATGTATATATCATTAAATGAGATACAGATTCCTACTTTTGTGGTTAGTAGTCATTACAAGCGCACACTACCGCGCATCATTGATTCCTGAAATCTCTTTCAAGGACCTTGCATTGTCAATTACATAATATCCGCACGGTGACATTGTGTCATTGGCAATCAATGCGATTTACATCTAAATACTGCATGCACTATGTAACATAACGTTTCGTGAACGTCTGAATCGTACACTCACCACACCGACGTCCAAACCAGCCAGGTCCGTCGATCCAGCTCCAGCTGCACACATCTCAACCGTATCACTCTGCATTCGTCCAGCAACCATCGTTCCACGTCGTTTGCTCTTCGCCCACTGCATAGCATTCACTGCATTGCACTCGCGACCGTGATTGTTTTAACGGCGTTTAACGGTTTACAGAAAGATACGAGTGGTTAGTTAAAAGTGTCTAAGTAACGCGACAAATTTCAGCATTTTGGAATATACACTCGCGCGTCGCGTAAAAATCGCGAACATGAAATCACGAAATTCTTCTCAAGGTCAATAAAAAAAGAAGAAAATATCCCCTACGCGAGCGTTTATACTATGTTTACAGCCGGATTTCTTGTTCCGCGAAAATATTTTTAACGGAAATAATAAATATATATATATATATAGAGAGAGAAATATATATATATATATATATATATATATATATATATATATATATATATATATATATATATAATATATATATATAGAAAATAATAAATAAATAAATATATATATAATAAATAAATAAATAAATAAATAAATATATATATATATTTATTTATTATATATATATACATACATATATATATATAGAGGGTGTTTCATTTCAAACAGGCTAGCGCGCGCAGGCCACATTGAACGAATTGAAAAGAAAAACATTAGGAATCTATATCTATCAAAAAGAAATATTCGATAATTGGAATATTCGGTAAATAAAATGATGATTCATGAGATGAATCTCCTGATTGTTCTGGACAGTGTATTTTAATAGACAACAATAAACACACACACATGCAAACCCTACACTGAGAGAAAATTGTGTGGTACTTGTTACTGTGATCGTATATAATGAAGTAACTACAATCAGGAAACTCATTTTCGTACTAAGTACTTTACTAATTTGTTAAAATAATTAAAAAAATATTCTTAGTAAACAATTATTACAATTTGTAGTAGGATTAATTATTTTTCTCTCAGTGTACATGCAAAAGTCTACGAGAGCTAAGTAAATCGCACTGATTTCTTGTACATATCAATCATCAATATCCATCACCTAAAGTCTTTGTTTTCGACTCACCGATTACCGGCAACTCAGGATCGGCCACGTTCTACTGCTGTTCTGAAGCAAAAAAAACGATAATCGTAATACAAAAATGATATTCATAATAGTTTAACGAGAATACGTGGATACGAGAGTATGTTGATCTTTTGCGCGATTATTATAACTTAACAATTCTTACTTGGACAATACGTGCTAGTTTCCGATCGCAAAAAATTAAATACGTAAAGAGTGCGAGAGGTTTTTCAACCTACCTTCGAGCCGACCCTGGTCGGTCCGAACCGGATCCTCCGGTACGACGTTTACATGCATCGCAATTGCACCCACTGTATGGTCACAAACTCCGCCAGACCTGAAACAAGAAACAAATGATTCTGATTAGTCATACTGACGTCAACGTATCAAGAATACAAAGACAGTGCTTTTCTTTCAAAATATTGAAAATATATTTAAGGGGACTGGAGGGTCAAATTGTTTGAAAATCGTACTTGTTCTTTCACAATTTTTTATGACAAACTAAATGAATATGCGAAAGTGTTATTTTGACGTGTATTTATACAATATATAAAGAGAAGAAAAATATAATTTTGATGATCAAATACTCAATATAAGTATATACATTTAAAATATATTTCGTTATTCTTTTCAAGGTCATTTTGTAGTAATATCTTGACTCTCGGTGGTTCAATTAAGCTGAATTTTAGGTAGAAAATTTCAGTGAGTTTGTCGTTATCGTGTGAACCACTGAAAAACTTGTGAAAATATTTAATTTTGAAATATTAATTTTTTTACTATAAAAGAACGGAAAATTTAATAATATTCCATTAAGATATTTGCAATTTTGTTTAACATTTACTCAATTTCTATTATAGTGGTTCACACGATAACGATAAGCTTACGGAAATTTTCTACTTAAAATTCAGTTTAATTAAATCACCGAGAGTCAAGATATTACCGCAAAATGACGACCTTGAAAAAAAAAAAAACGAAATATATTTTAACTGCACCATATACTGTACCATATACCAGGTGTAGAAGTATGAAACCGGAATTTTTTTATACAAATAAGACGTCTGTTGTTCGAAAGTGATAAATAATACTTTATTCAAAATAATTTCCACTGTTTTGAACACATTTTTCCCACCTCTCTGGCAGTTTATGAATGCCGTGCCAAAAAAACTTTTCATCTTTTGAAGCGAACCAGTTATCTAGCCATTTTTCCACATTTTCATACGAATCGAAGCGTTGGTTAGCGAGAGCGTGTCCTAGCGATGCGAACAGGTGATAATCGGACGGAGCCAAGTCTGGAGAATAAGCCGCATGCGGTAGTAATTCCCAACTGAACGACTCGATCGTTTCCTTGACCCGTTTTGCT